ACCCCCTGATGATCCTCTAATCACATGAGCCAAGGTGTGAAAGCGGGTGTGGGTCACAATCAGCCAGGGTTTCGGGTGAGCTCATTGTGAAACCTGGCCCCACCCTATCATGTGATTTCCTGAGGCCCAGGATGTGAGTGGGCGTTAAGGCGTCTGGGAAGGGATCTCAAAACTGGATTATAGATGGCATTATATATCTGGGATTATAAATCTGGGACTTTCCACCATTTGACCCTTAGAACTGAAGAAGCTTCTCGGATGAGAGGTGAAACGTCTTCAAGAAACTCAAAGAAAGAAGTCCAGACGCTTTTCTTTCCAAGCTCCTTAGAGTACGATGACCTGGATGACTGAGAACCTTCACAGACATGGTGAGGAAAGGTTTCAGCTCGAAAAGGAACAGGTCAAATATATATATAAATATATATAATGAACGACTGATGCGACTTTTGTTTTAATTTATTACAAGCTGTCACGTGAAGCACCGCACGCATCTCTGTGTGTTCATGTCCTGACACACGAGACTCTAGATTTGTTTGTGTCCACGTGTGCATGTCTGATTGCGGATATTTCTTAGATGAAGCCAGGACGACAAAACAATGACCTCACATGGTGTCACTACAGCAACCCTGGCGACGGACCAAACAATAACATCTCTGTTATTTTGTTTACAGGCTGTACGGTCCATTGAGTGGCCTCATGGTTTGCATCAGGGGGCCTTCAATATCTTCACCCAGTCGCTGAAATCAATGCGTTCAACTCTGTTTCTTACTTTCTGCTAGAAAGTTCAGTGATGTTACTTGGCTGCAAAACCAATTCCAGCTTGTAAACCAAGTTTGGATAATATTTCTTAGCCGTCAAAGTTTGTGTCATAAAAAGACTGAATCTGTTTCATAACCTGATATGAGCACTAGGTAGGCCACTGGGTGCAGCCAGGGGTGAATAGTGTACTGGATGATCTGACTTTTGGCTTGCAAGATAAAGAAAAAAATCATCCACTTTTCCCTCTGTTGTGCTACAAATTCCCAGAGCAAAACATTCACACTCCATTTGTCAACTCTAGTGAGTGTAGTGCAATCATTGTGTCTGTCCTTCCAAGAATAATTGGGACAGTGCCTGACAGGTTCATAATTAATCACAAATGATTTAATTATTAAAATAGTGCTTACATTTAAGCAAATCTAAGCTGCTAAATGGTTTAATAGGGTTATTAAAGCATTTAGCAGCAATAACTTGAAGTAACGTTTGGGCTCTCACATTATTATGGAGGACTTTTGGCCCACTCTTCTTTACAGCATTGCTTCAGTTTATTCAAGTTTCCAGTTATTCATTTATGCACAGCTCTCTTAAAGTCCTGCCACAGCATTTCATTCAAGTTGACATCTGGATTTTGTCTGGACCAGCAACTTGATTCTTTTTTTCTCATTGTATTCTGTATACAATGGAGTTTGTGGTTGACTCAATGACTGCAATGGTACAGTCACCGAGTCACTGATGTTTTGTCATTGGCTTTTTGCAATGTCTCTGAATGTCTGTCTGATTACACATAATTCTAGTCTTTCTTTTTTACAAGACTGCATATTCATACTTGTTAAAGAACATTATAGTGTTTCACATAGATTGCTTTTTTTTAAGAACCCAGCAACATTAATTGAAAAATATATTAATGACTATTCCCTAAAATTACATTTGACAAAGTGAAAGTATCAACAACAATTCTAACATAGTAAATATTCCATTTTCATAAGCTGACTGTAAATAAACTCACAACTTAAGCTCTTTACAGCTTCGGGCATGACATTGTTTTATTTTTTGTTTGCCAGCTGCCAATTTCCACAATCTGTGAATTAAACCGTCTATTTTATTAATTCTTCAATTCATTTAAGAAGAACTTGGTCTTCAAAATTGCCATATTACTCTTAAATTCAGAGTCCTGGAGTCTTAGAAATTTATAGAATACACCCACCTCAATACCACAATATGTGCCTATATCCTTTACACATGCGACCGACTTTGGCTGGAGGCCCTTGTTGTCTTTTCTGAATGTTTTTTCCCTGAATCCTGAATTTTTTTTCTGCATAAGATGACTTACATGTCAGACCTATGTGTTTCTAAAGCAAGGCCAGCTAGTCAGGGTCGACCTTACATGATGAGAAAGTAGAGCTGAAATGGGTGTGTCCACAGCGTCTCACAGTAACAGAAGAGACAACAATATAAAAACAACTTGAACTTGGACAGTGTTTCCATTTCTCTCTAATGCAAAAATATCAAGATCCCTTGCCCACCATTTTCTCAAAAGCCCTTTATTTATACTTTTATTATAAAAATGGTTTTAGAGATATGAGCCCTCACACAACCACTCTAAGTGCTTTCTATCTAACATTCACATGCATTCATACAAGCAACTTGGGGGTAGTATCTTGCCTAAGGGCTTTTGGCATGCAGACTGGAGCAGACAGGGAGTGAACCACCAACCTTCCATTTATGACCTGTTTTACCACCTGAGCGACAGCTCTACATTTCTGCAGCAACTTCTTGTTTTTGATCTCAGTAATGTCTGTAACAATAACCTCTTTATTGTTTTAGTTTATATTTCTCTGACAGCTGCCACGAAACACAAATGGAATTTCAAAAAGGACAATAAACAATATAATAATCCAATATATACTAATCCATCTGTAAATCTCATCCTCCACTCGCTTGTGAATAAAACCCTGAGATACTCAAACTGGAGGCCATCACCTGATGAAGCCAGGTGATGCCACCAAAACCACATCAACAGATTAACAGAACCACAAAAAACAAAGACAATATCTTGAGACCATCAAAGCACAGACCCTGTACCACTTGGCTACAGCAGAGTATTATAATTATAAGAATTATAAACAGAATTGGTGACAAAGCGCAGCCCTGGAGAAATCCAACATGCATTGGCTTTTGCTGTAGTTTGCAACTAGCCATACTCCTGTAGTTCCCCTCATACGATATCTTGAGGGACTTGGTCAAATGCCTTCTTCAAATTCCCAAAACACCTGAGGACTGGTTGGGTAACCTCACACACACCCTTGAATATTATCCAATCCAGGATATCCAGGATAAAGAACTGGTCCACTGTTCTGCGACTACGACCTTTTAAATGGAACCATCCCCTGCCAATCCAGCACCGCCACCGCACGCAACACTGCAGAGATGTGCCAACCAGGACTTCCCAACAAACTCCAGAGCTTTTCAGAATTCAGGGTGAACCTCATCCTCCCCTGTGGTTCTACCATTAAAGAACTGTGTGACTATGCCAGTCATCCCCCTCCACACACTGCTTTCATTATAGAAAGTGTCAGTGGGATTGAGGAAATCTCCAAGGGGTTACTTCCACTACCTGACTATATCCTCAGCTAAGTCAGCAGCACTTCTTCCCCATCCTGAGCCACTTGATGCTTTGCCAGAATTACTTTGATAAAACTGAGCACACTCCACCACTGTCAGCTTGGGTTATGAGGGTGGTAATGAGTTAACTTTTCCTTTTCAAATGTTACTGGGTCAAAACAGACTGAATTATACAGGCCAAAAATTAAATCGTGGAAATTGAGGTTGAATGAAGGCAACTGGTCTGTGTGTGTGTGTCTGTATGTGTGTAGGTGTTTTGGTTGAGGTTTTTTTTTTTTAAAGAAACGTGACCATATGGAAATCATTACATGTGGGCTGATTCAGCATGCCAACATATTTTTGTGTTTGCACGTGAGTGTGGGTCTGTCACCTCCAAGTTCAGCAAGTCAAGTACCACACCCCCAACCTCCACCCACACACATACAAACACAGAGACATAACAAAATGTCCTCAGAAATCTGGCTTAGACTAAATATTTGACCAAACAAAAGTAAAAAGTATCTTGCATACAAATACAACAAAAGTAAAAAGTATCTTGCATACAAATACAACAAAAGTAAAAAGTATCTTGCATACAAATAGTAAAGTATGCTCTATAAGCTGACTGGGAGACTAACACAATGGGAGAAAACTGCAACTGTTATTTAGGTTTCCTATACGCGTGGAACTAAAGCATATTTAACAATAGTTATTTATAGCGAGTGTAAGCCAAAGTTTGATCAAAAACACTCAGTGCTTATCATATTTTTTGTAGAAAACATGCAAGTTGTTCTAAAAGTGTTCAGAAAATAATAACAAGGAATCATGACACTGTTACAATTAATGTAAAATCTTCCAGAAATACTCCCATTAGTTCGGAAGAGTAGCTCTCTGAACAAAGGTGACCAATCATGGTAATCATTGCAACAGCGCAATACAATTTATACAGTTTAATACAAAACATAGCTCATCACTTTTCAAGTACAAGGTAAGCACTACTTCTTAAACCACTGACTATACTAGATCAGTAAGTTTTTTGCCAATCACTTACCAAGAGCCACCAAAAACACAATCTTGTTGTGTCTGAAACCCTGTAACTCCTCTGCATTTTGTAATATAATGCTGACTGACTTTATAAGCCCCTGAAAAACACATCAAAGAAAGTATGCAAATTGACAACGACAGAGGCAATAAAACTTCCAGCATGAGTTAAAAAGCAGCACTGGGACTGGATCTAGTAGCTCAACTGAAATTCAAAAACGTGACCAAGAAACCGTTAGAGAATACGTACACCATTAACCTCATTAGTCATATATGTAGGTTTAGAGAGCTACAGTATCAAACTGTGAACTGACACTCTAACCACGGACTGCATCGGACCCCTGGCAGTGCACGCAGAACTGCTGAACGCATTATTCATTTAATGGGATACTTATAAAGAGTACGGGAGAGAGGAGGAGGCGGGTGAAGGAGGGAGAGCCAAAGTCAAAGGGCATGAAGGGGGCAAGGAAGTCATTTTCATGAAGATAGAGACTGAGTGAAAGCGTGGAGCAAGCTGGAGAGGGGAGTGGAGCCCAAGGGGGAAGAGGGGGGGAAATAGGGGAAAGGAGGGGAGGAAAGCGAGGGGTGAAACTCCTAAAACACATAAATAGGCGGAAAAGGACTTGGAACTTTGCAGTCACTCGTCCCGACAGCCACATCCACAGCTCTCCTCTCCCCTTCTCCTCACCTTCAGCCCTCTACTCCACTCAGCTGCAGTCCATCATTCATCTGGAACCCTGAGCAAACCCAGTGAGTAGTTTCTACAGCACACATTTACCCTGTTTCTGCATGGCCTTCCAGCTAAAAGACTGCTTACACTACTAATCTACACAAATTGATGGATGTAAGAGTTGAACCATAGGCAGCTACAGAGCTTACAAGAAAAGCTACTAACAGTTTTTAAGACACAGGACTTTTAAACAAGTACAAAGTATTTAAGTGATAACATATTCAGAGTAAGCAAAGGTGATAAAAAATGTAAACGTAGCCATTTTTAATTTAATTGTAAATATTTAAATTAAGAACAAAATTTTAAAAGAATGGAAAAGCTGCTAATTCTGAAAGACCTGGCAGTGTCAAGATAAAGTGTCTTACTTGCTCAGGGTTAAATACTAAAAATGTGTTGCAATCTATGCGAAAGCTGTTCATTTATATACCCTCTGAGAAGCAGGGATGCAGCGCTTGAACTCTTCATTAAACAGTGACACATATGAGCATGAAAGTGATACTGCTAACTGAACGACTAAATCAGAAGACCCACACTGGAGCTTTATTGACAGAGTTCAGGGAAGATGCAGCCATGACTGGAGGAAGGCAATAATGAGATATCCAATGGAGAAGAAGAATAGCTTACTTCTATTTAATACCTTTAATGCAGATAATACAGAGATGGATGGTTTAGCAGACTGCAAGTGCGATTACACTTTCGCTGTATGTATCCTAATAAATGTCAGATTTCCTTCTGCCACTTTAACAACGCTAAACTAACGTTACAAGTATAAAAAGTGGAAAGACGATCTAGAAACAAATGTCCCTTGTATAAAGAAGTTGTTAAACCCAATGTTAATGGTGTCTGATCACAGTTTTCTTGGTGCTGATCTGTCTTAAATATATAAGATTATAAGAATCAAAAAGAATGAGAAGGCTTTTATTTGGAAAACCAATATTTATGGTTAGGCCACTGTTATGAGACCTTTATAAAAGAAAAAAGTACAAAATAGTGTTTATTGTGTAGTAACTGACCAGGTACTTCTTTGCAGCTCTATATTATTACTGACTAGTTCTTTTATGCACCTCATTCAGGTCTTCTCCCCCGATCTACTCTTATCATGGACACCACAAAAATGACTATCTCCCTCTTTGAGGCACTCTGTCACCTGATTGTCTTGATGCTAAGTCTGGGCCAAGGAATTCATTCGATGCCTGTCCCTACTGACATCCCCATGTGCACAGCTTCAGAAACTGCCCAGTATAGTCTCACATTTACTGGCAAGTGGACCCAGGCAGCTTTTCCTAAGCAGTATCCTCGCTACCGTCCTCCTGCACAGTGGTCAAATCTTATTGGTAAGTGCACCTAACCTAAGGCAAGTTATTGGTCACATTATTTTCAGGTCAATGTGGCAAGATCTATTGGGTGGTTGAAAAACAGAAAGCGACAACATAAAATGTCTTTTGAATAAGTCAGAAGAGGAATGCACCAACTGTTTACTATAGAGTTATTAAAAAACAATCCTATTTTTTATTTGTATCACATTTTACCCACTAGTAGGATGTTATACATCTGCCCAATTCAGTCCAAAAACACTAGAAAACAGTCACAGGAGTCCATTAATTTCCCTTTGCCGAGATGTACTGTACATGATCTCACTATTCAGACTAACACCTGCTGAAACAACAATTTTTCATCCTTTCTTTTCCATCAGGGGTGACCCACAGCTCTGACTTCCACATGTGGCAACGTAATGAGTTTGCCAGCAATGGAGTGAGGGAGTTCACGGAGAAAGGTGAGGCTTGGACGCTTGTGAAGGAAGTCGAGACGGCCGGTGAACGCATCCAGAGTGTTTATGGGATCCTCTCCGCTCCCGCTGTCGTGGGCGGCACAGGCCAGATGAACACTGAGTTTGAGGTCTTTGCCAGGCACTCCTTTGTAAGTTTCTCAACAGGGCATTAAGTGCATGCAAGGCTTGTCACTGACAGGTCAGCATAGATAAGGTGGTGTGACGAATTCCCAAATAAGCACTTAGAATCATAGCTCTGTTTAGCCCAATAATAAAGCCTTACAGATAGGTACCCAGACCAAACAGGTTTAAAATTTGACCATAATATAAATAAACTGCTTTAAAGTGGAAATTATCATTCTAGGAATCAGCACCACATCAGATTATACAATAACTTCCACTGTAGTTTGCAAAGGTTACAAATATTTCAGTGTCAGTGAAGTTTTCAATGTTTCACTGTTATTTAAATTTCATGTAAGTGCAAATAAGAAATTTGGTGTAAACTCGGACATTATTTCTACTGAAGATGTTTTGTTGCTATGTTATATATTATATGTTAATATATATATCAAAATTGCAACCATTTAAAAATTTGCATCCAGTGTCTTTGTAGTCAAATAACAACCTGCCACACTACTGATAATTGTTCATAATATGAAGTTATACTGTGAGGAAAAACGGCATAATGCCTCTTTAATTAGGCTGATGCAGCAACAAAATGTTCCTATAAAACAAGCTCCTGACAGTTATTTTTGCCTGTAAACTACACCAAAAAGCGAGCTTCTGTAACTGTAACGAGTCTAATTAATGTCTCTTCGAATTATGTAACCTCTGCAGAAGTTTGCAGTTAAACTTCCCACTGATGAGTCTCTGGGTAGCTAATAAAACCTCTGGCACATCTGACAAAAATTTGTTAAGCTTGGAAAAAGCCAATTGGAAACATAAGATGGTCACCAAAATAAAAGCAAGCCATGCTGGAACAAAAGTGCACTTGTAGAGTGGTGGATCCGATACAAGACTACGAATCTCTATTATGTCATGCTTAAAAAAGAGCATATTAATGCACAATAAAATAAATCATTGTAAAACACAGACATCATATATGATTTAGAAGTATTTAGTGGTCCTTGAAGGAGGTTTGAGAATTAAGATGTTGGAAAGATGTTTGGAAAGGATTTTATTATGTTTTTCTTTCCTTTTCTATTCTCATCTCTGCCTGTGGCTACATTTTAACTCACTTCTTATGTTTTACTTTCTCCATTCACAGCTGTCATTTATTGTACGGATCGTCCCAAGCCCAGACTGGTTTGTGGGTGTGGACAGTATAGACCTGTGTGATGGCGACCACTGGAAAGAAAATGTGTCAGTGGATCTTTTTCCATATGATGCAGGAACTGACAGTGGGTTCACCTTCTCGTCTCCCAACTTTGAGACCATCCCACAGGATAAAATCACACAGGTGGGCAGCACAGGTGCATGAATCCATAGTAAACCCGGGTATTTAGAAATCCTGATTGTCAACAGCTAGTAATGAAAACATTAGTGTTTCTATTAGACTCATACAGAGATGCTGTATTGAAGTGATGTACAGCAACACTCTACAGCTGCTGAATTTGCCCAAAAATTACAACACTGCTTTAACAAAATAAACTACACTCATTAGAATATTTATTTCTGCACATTTCAACCAGAAAAAGCAAAAAGAATAGAGACATAACTATAAGGCTAAATTTAAGGTAAATTTAAACATAATTATAAGTTTTAAAATGCATCCCTCAACCAATAACATGGTGTAAGTCTTATCCATCAGTACACTGCAAGCACAATGGTCCAGGGATAATTTAGCTCTGGTCAATACCAGCATCTTTTTTTCATATTTAAGACGACTTTTTCATCAGCTACAAATGTTAAGTTAGCTGGTTAGACAGTAATGTCAAAATAGTACAAAAAACTGAAAAAGACTATGAATAAACAGGGAAACAAAGCAAACTTTCTGACTTTTTCACAATTTGGTCATATTGCTGAATTTATATTATAATGCACTACAGTGGAACCCCGACTTACGAAATTAATTCGTTCCCGAGGGTCTTTCGTAAGTCGAAAATTTTCGTAAGTCGAAGCACCCATCGCGCCTTTTGAGTGAACGATAGGCTATAGGCTAACTGCTAACTGCAACAACAATACGTCGTTCAAGTGGAACAGCGAAGCGCAAGTACGAAAGCCAAGGGGGTTGTCACATGATTCGGAAGGCATTGTGGGCATTGTAGACATTCTGGGCTCAGCCAATCAGAGCCAGCGGATTTCGTTACGTGGGCATTTTGCCGTAACACGGGCAGAAATATTGCTGCGAGTGCCTTCGTAACTTGAATTTTTTGTTAAATGGGGTATTCGAAAGTCGGGGTTCCACTGTATATGGAAATCATCACCAGGCTGAGTTCAGTGAGACATAACAGAAAATCAATTAAAGTGTAACTAGTAAACTATATGAGAGTATTTGAGGTTTAGTAATGTTGATAAAGGTAATTAAGCCACCACCGACACAGCTGTGTGCACTATCTGCCTCCAGGAAGCACCTAAAGACATTTATACTTCCCTAAATCCTCCAGCAAAAATCAAAAGAATATGGCAGCTGTTGCTGTGATACCAGCTTTCTTTTCTATTAAACTGTAATTTAAACTTTTAGTATCAATTGTAAGCCCATGCAGCAGGAAAATCAGTCTGAAGAGGCTTGTTACAACACATATCTTGATAGATATTCCTTGTCCATTTTCCTCTTCACAGATCACTTCCTCTTTCCCTAGTCACCCAGCCAATTCCTTCTTCTACCCCCGCCTAAAGCACCTACCACCCATTGCGAAGGTCACACTGACCAAAATAAAGAAGACCAATAAGATCATCAGCCTGCCCATGGAGCCCACTCAATCCAACCAGCTGCCAACAGGAAATGAGATTGAAGATAAGCTCATAAGTAAGTCTGAATAACAAGTAAATGAAGAATTTCTGTTTTTATATGATTCATCTACTTTCTTTGAAACATGCATTTTACAGCATAGTACAGAGCACAATAACAAAAGCTAGAACTCAAGGATGTGGCAGTTAACATCTCAGTTTGGTCTCAGTTTCGCACTCATTAGAGTCCTATGTTTTGAGAATTTTTTATGGGAAAATTGGGAGCAGTCGTTTAAATGGCATCATGTCCTCCTTTATGTCTTAACACAGATCCATGCGTGAACCATTACTCGCGTAACCCCGGTTCTCTGAAAACTGAGTAATTTATTGAGTGACAATTGAAAGAGAACTCTACACAGGGCTCTAGAGTGCGACCAATTTGGTCGCAAAAGCACAGTGTTTCCAGAAAACACATTATATTATATAAATTATTATAAAATTTGTGTGCGCCTAACTTTTGTGCCGGTACGCCTAACTTTAAAAAGTTAGGCGTACCGGTACGCCCATGGCAAAAAGTTAGTCTAGAGCCCTGCTACATTAATCCCAATCCTCAATGGTTCTCAATCTGACCTGGTCAACACACCAATAGGGATATTTTTATCCCCATATATTTATCTATGTTTTATTCTGCATTCAAGATACTGTCTTGGCAGCTACAAGTCATTCTGGTGACAAACCCTGAATGCATCCATAACTGAATTAGGCAAACATATGAGACAAAGACAGACTTCAGAAGAACACCAACTCTATAGTGTCTTTCTTATTCTACTGATACTATATATATATTATATTTGTTGTTAAAGGCTAAACTAAAAGTATATACAGAACAAAATGAATACAGAATTCTACATGCTTTGTCAAACTCAGATGTAAGGTTTTAACATAAGGCAGGGACTTGCTCATTTTCGGGAATTTAGGAAACATTACAGGCCACACACAAACTAAACTGTTTCCAACCAAAGACCAGAAAATCCAAGCCAGAGTCAGGGTACCAGAAAATACCAGAAACACATCTGGCATCTAGTATAAGAGGCAAAAGATGTGTGATAAAAGATGTCAAAGAGTACTTTATGAAAACTGTGTAGAAATTATATACAGTAAATTTTTAGTCATGATGCCAAGTGGGACATAAACACTGGAATTTATTTCATGGGCGAAGCTGGATATGTGGGTTCCGAGACTATTTAAGACTCTTCTGTAGAGAAAGGAAGAATACAAAGACATCTTGAAAAATGTACATGGAAAAGCTGTATCAAACTAAAAGTTAGCAATGCAGCAGACAAGTAACTTTGTGTGAATGATGCATGTGATAGGGAGGGCAAAACAGCCTTTTATAAAAGCACAATTCACCATGGAAAGTCTAAATAGATGACTTGACCGGGAAAAGTTTTTTTAAGGGGGAAAAAGTAATAGATAGCATGTTGGCCTGGCAAAAGAGCTGACAGAGCATTAATCAGAAGCAGGGTTGAGGGTAACTGCAAGGGTCTGAGTCAGCATCACAGACTACAAGACCGTTCCCCCGACAACCCATCAACAAACAACAGAGAATGGCCAACAATCTGTTGGGGTTTCCTCCCCCTGTTCCCAATGCTCCATCTTACCCTTGTGTCTGTTTATCCTACCCCTGTCATTATCCCTCCATCGTATTTGTGTATTCTCCCCAGAGCTTGAACAAAACTTTTCTTTAATGATCAGTAAGCACCTGTTCTAGATCTGTGAGACACTGATGGAAAATCAGGTTAAATCATCTTTGTGTTTCTGCAACCTTTTGTCACATTAACCTTCGCTTTGTCATTCTTGAACATAAATTTTAAAGGGAGTTATCAGCCTTTCACTTGATATCCAAATGTCCATCTATGCAGCTTCCATACAACCTCCCTTCCTTCTGCTTTTCTACTCTCTAACTGACAACTGCGATTCATATCAGCTGCATAGAAGCCCACCAAGAGCTTGACTGAGGTACATCAGCAAGTAGTCTGAAAGCACCAAAAAACATGATGTGATGATAAGACTTTAAAAGGATTACATTTTTATTAGGTTAGCTGAAAAAGCAGAAAGTCAGAGGATGCTTCCTTACCCTCTATTATAATTGAGGTGTCTCCTAATAAGGGGCTAAATCATGATCTGTTGCAGAGGAGTCATTAAGTAGCAGCACTGTTTACTCTGAGGCAAAAATAAAAAAAGTAAGCACAATGAGCAAAAACCCACTCTAAAAATGAAGGTAAAGCAAAATGAAAATTAACTCCAGCAGTGCAACCACTGCAAAGAGTCTATAATGAGAAAATGTGGGTTCATAAGGCCTACACACAAAGCACGGCAACACCCTTTAATAATTTTGTGTTATAAAAAGAAAAGAAGATTTTCCTGATTACGACATATTACTCATCTTATAAGTCATGTGCAAAGAGTTAAGAGCAACAAATTAGCAGAATGGAAACCTGATTGTTAATATGATTGCTATGCTGCCCGCCCTTCTCTGCAGATACCCCTCTGGACTGTGAAGTGTCAGTGTGGTCTCCCTGGGGCTTGTGCAAGGGCAAATGTGGAGAGTCAGGCGTTCAGCACCGCACACGCTACATCATAATGCACCCAGCCAACAATGGAGCAGCCTGTCCCCTGCTGGAGGAAGAGCGGAAGTGTTTCCCAGACAACTGTTTATGACTAGGCCAGGAAAGGAGGGAAAAGAAAGAGAGGAAGGAGAGGAGAAAGAAGAAGGAGAGGAAAGCCAGAAAAGGGAGGAAAGGACGAAGACGCAACAGCAACAATAAAAGGTCCGCAATTTAATCACATGAAGTTTAACCATCACAAACCAGCTTCCATCGGCTCTCCCTGGCCAAACTGTTTCTGTGGAAATCACTAATATACATACTGATTATGTGACTGTTCAACTGGGAGAGTGTGCCTTAAAAAAATCCTTAATCTTCCCTTCATATTGATAGATCTGACAGCACTAAAGAGGTGTAGTTTGGCAAAATAGCCATTAGACACCAATTCAGTTTTGGCAGAATATCAAAATTGTCTGGGGAGAGATCAATGCTGTTTAGTAATTAGAAAATGAGCTGAAAACACAAGTTGGCACTGTAATTGGATTTGCTTTGACACTTCTGAAGATCACAAATATTTGTTTGCTACTCCAAGCAGCTTTTATTTAGAGGATTTAGAAAAAATCCTGGCATAAGATCCAAAATTATACAAATTATATCAAACTAAGAAAAGGTGGAAATACGGTGCTTCAATAGCCCCATTAGCAGAAGTAATATGATAACAAAAGTGACATATACACTTTCCTAAATTTAAAACATAATGTTTAAAGAAACATTGCGCTTGTTTTCCTAAAGAAAATGGATATATTTATTGACAGGATTTTAACCTGTAGTGTACAGCATATGAAATCTGAAATAATTTGTATTCCTTTACGTTACTGAGTTAAAACAGAAAAACTTGCTTTGTAAAATACTAAAACACTAAAAATATGTGTATTTTTTTTGTAAAGCTCAATAAAATGTGAATACAACTTACTGTTTCCTCTTTGATTCCTGTTTTCTCAAGAAACAAATGGTGGCGTCGTTTAATTAAAACTGTCATGGCCTGTTGATTATCACCTTTAAATATTAGGCATGCATTAAGTTAATATTACTGATGTTGCGTTTGCAGGATCCAATGGAGTGTAGAGGACAAGCTGACCTCGGTTCACACAGTTTTGGACTGAATCCACCCTAATGAAGTGTTGGTCATAAAGTGATCTCCAGTGATTAAAGAGTTCATGAAATGTTTAGAACTCAAAGTTTAAAATCTTAAAGCAAGAAATTAATTTCACATAAAGGCTATAAAGCATAAATCCTACTGCACAAAAATATATATGTACATAGAAAAATGACCTTTTCTTTCAGGGCACGATGAAGACGACATAATTTTAAGTAAACGATATTAGCGTAAATATGTAAAACAGATATTCCCACCAAGCCAGCACTGAAACTACAGACGGCAGACTGAATAGCAATAAGAACTAAACATCTGGGACATGAGGGATGTCCTTCCGTTCAGAATGACGAGGGAGAGGAAAATTACTGAGCTAAAGATGTGTGTTTTAGCATTTCTATTGTAGATTCACTAACTATGTGTTAGAAGTAAGAGTAACGTAAACATCCAGTTTGGTGCAATGTCACGAGAAATATCCCTGCTTTGTTTGTGAAACTGAATTTTTAACAGACACAGTATAAAACCTGTGGTTATTTTATTGGTATGATAAAACTACTGATTTACTATTCAAGCTTCCTGTAAAGTTACCAGAGTGTGGGATGAGAAGGAAATCTGATTCTTTGCTTACTTTAGAAATGACAACTTTTGCAGATGCTAAATATGAGATGGGTTCATTCAGTGTGTGTGGGAGTTTTCTCTGCATGTGACCTCATCTAAGGTAAACATATGGCATTTTACGCAATGGACTCGATTACATTTCCTACACTGATTACTAGGGATGGGTATCGTTTAGGTTTTATCCGATACCGGTGCCAAATCCGGTACTTTTGAAGGCAACCTGCAGAATGGACCAAAGGAACCCCAGTTGCTGTTTTTGTAAAGAAACAATGTGTTTCGCTATCTATAATCACCGGTGCTTAAAGAATGGAGAACACAAAATTGGTCCAAAAACCTCTCATGTTCAGCTGTTTTTTGTAAAAAGATAACAATGTTAGCCTTTTCTGCAGCTATGGTGGCATATATGGTATCACTCTTGGCTGGAAGCAGTGCTTAAACAATGGAAAAAACACAAACTTTGTCCAAAAACCTCTCATGTTTAGCTGTTTTCCACTTTTTCTTTGGTCATTTTAGCCTTTTTGGCCAGGGTGAAGGGAGTATCTGCCATCAAACAAGAAGACAGCCGCATGTAGCTATGATGATGTTTGCTAGTTCACCTTACATGCATTAATGTAATAACGTGGTTAGCCTACTCAACGTAAATTACACACGAACAACATTAAGCTACTCACGCAGAGAAGAACGGCTGCTGCTGCATCATCATCCTCATCATTTCTGCTACACTGGCAGGGCTAGGGGCCAGGACTCTCCTCTACGGGTTCTTGGGGGATGTTGCTAACTCCGGGTCCGATATGTGCTCGGTGTGAGGTCTCGCAGCAAGCTATCAAATACGGTGCATTTCTCGGCTTTTAAAAAAAAACACTATGCGTCGCGCAGGTGTCATCAGTCGAGTTTACCTCCTTTGACGTATCACAGTATCAGCTTAAAGCACTTGTTCGGCTGCTGAGTTTGCATCTTTTGCTGTGAAGTACAGCCAGACTTTTGACCGCTTCGCCTTGGCATTTTTAATCTGTAGCTCTGCTCTAAAAGAACGTACGTACCTGGGCCCGCCTACTATCCTCGGAAACGTAAAATGATTGGCTAGAACTAAAGTGTATCACAGCTCAGGAAAAAAAGCACCGAAATGTGCGCTGCTTTTCGGTCTGGTTACTACCGTTTATGTCAGAACCGGTGCCATCATGGCACCGGATACCGGTACCCATCCCTACTGATTACATAATGGGACACTGTCAAACAATCAACTTACTATATTACAATGTGCTAATATTTTGCATATAATTGTCCTTTGGTACTCTAAAGTACAGAAAAAAACTGGAAAGCACCTTCTTGAATTTTACTGAGGTAAATGTAAAGTACATCCTTGATAAACACACAACATTTTTTATAAGTGACACTACAAATTGTTATATGTGACCAAAAGTTCATGATGCTTATTCCTACCTTGTGTTAGTGTCAGAATATAAATATAATCTGCAGTGAAACGAAGAACCTGCTAGATACCCTATATCAGGTACATGCTTGCCATTGCAGCTTTTCTATTGGTTGCCAGGTTAACCAGTTACAAAATTACCAGAATAACTTGTCACACAAAGTAGCACCTGTGAGTTTCTCACACTCTCACATATGGACATCATTAGATGGAAAATACCTCAAACTTGAACTAGAATTTGCAGATCTACATAAAGGCTCTACTGGAACTGCAGGCAAAGCATTAGGTCACTGTTAAGTGTAATCTAATAGTTTGCTGTTAACATAAAATGGGTTTGCAAGGCACTGGCTTTCTCCTTCAGTGTTACCTGATGCTGGCTGCTGCCATGTTTTTTCATCTTGGAGAGCAGGAGGAGAAATGCATCATTGAGGAGATTCCTGAAGACACACTAGTGACCGGTGAGTGTTTTAGATGGGGAAAAATCCTCCTGAGTATCATTTATGATACCCAATCATAGCAATAAAAGTGGAAACAGTGATTGAGGGTGAATGTAATTATTTACAAATGTTAAAAACCATGTGATTTTTGAATCACACAGTAGCTTTACATGCACAATATTACGTTTCTAATTTGAGCAAGTGCAAAAACCATAAAAAGCTATTCGAGCCTTGTTTTAAATGAAACACTTCCAATGTATCCAGTAGTTAAATGAATACAATAAAGAAAGAAATATAAAGAGCATTCCACCAACTGCAAGGTTCATGGAGTTGGAAATCAAAATGAGTCCTTTTTAAGCTCTCCTCACGAAAGAACCTCATGAAAAAGCAGTGTATTTAAGGATGTATAACCAAGTAATAACACCTGGGTACACAGCTACCTGAGAGTCGCTAAAACAAACTGTATTTGGTTCTTATTTACCACACGGCAGTTCAGTGATTCTCTCTGCAGTTTTCCATATTTACTGAGCTGGATGTGTGCCAGTGTTTTGCGATACTTTACATTACTTAACATTTCTCAGATCTTTTTTCCTTGATGTTCATCGCAGACTCTTTAAGACTTTTTAATGATTACGGTGAGTTTTGATAACCACAGAATAAACTGGAAATGATCAATCTTATCATAAGCATATGTCACGAATCTTGCAAGCTTGCTATGGGTCTTTGCAGTTACTGTGTGTGTAATTTTGTTTGTGTATATGTCTGCACTCATGTGTGTGTGTCTCTTACCTTTAGGCTTTTTTCTTTTGGAGCCTTGGGATGTGAAGGCGTTATCAAAATTACCTCAACTTGGCCTCACTGTGACAGTAAAAGATTCAAACAGTGAGGTACTGGACTCAAACGATACGGGGTCACTTGAATGTCTTCACGTGATGTTACACTAAAAATATGTATCTTTGGAAATGAAAAAGAAACAAATAAACAAAAACAAGCGCTTATTACAGCCTAATAATAATAGTAACTTTCCTACTTTTCAGATTATGTTGTCCAAGCGATATGGGAAATTTGGTAAATTCACCTTCACAGCTCACACTTCTGGTCAGCATCTTCTTTGCTTTAAAACAAACTCGACAAGTTTTTCTGTCTTTGCCCGTGAACGTCTGGTGAGAAATGTGGACACACAGAACAAATGTTATTCAAAACAAAGCAAAATACATAAATGGACTCCCCGTTTAAAAACTGACTAATAGTTAACATTAACTTCTGTTTATCAATTTTGCTACACAGAAGCTACATTTGGATGTACAAATGGGAGAGTTCACAGTTGGTCACAATACTGATAGGACCAAGGACAGCATGGAGGCCCTGGAGAACAGTCTTAGACACCTGACGGAGCAGATGATTCACATTACCAGGCAGCAGGAGTTCCAGAGGGTAAATAAATATTTTACTGCACTGTCTTAACAGCTGTTTAAACCTGACATACAGTAAGGAGACCAGTATATCAGATATAAGCTTCATTTTACGTCAAGAATCGTGAAGTACTTTTTTCCACTGCTACCAATGAAGGAGAATATATTCATTTTAAAATGGTAAAATTACATCATATAACAGGTTATCAATTCTATTCTTCTCTCTTTCTTTTTATTTTGTTGCCTGTTGTCATTCAGGAGAAGGAGGAGGTATTTCGTCAGATCAGTGAGAACACCAACAGCAAAGTGTTGTGGTGGGCTGCAGTGCAGACCTCCATTCTGCTGGTGGTTGGTTTCTGGCAGATGAAAAGACTCAAAGACTTCTTCATCGAGAAGAAACTGGTCTGATGAACAACTTTGACCAGCCTCATTGTTTTTACTTTTATTTCACATACCTGTACCAGTGAAGTTTGAGTGCTCTAGGGCTATAATGCTTAATAAAAAGGCCAGTTTTCACCAAACAGCTGGTGCGATGCTCTAGAGTATGGTGTTTAAGACTATTGTATATACAGTTGTGGTATGAAGTACATACATTCGTCATGGGCATAAAGTTGTGGTGATCTGGGGTTTTAGTGATTTCTGTGAACTGTGGAATGACTGTGCAGCACACATTTTTAATGATTAGAATCAAAAATTGGGTGCTCAAGTTTCAATCGATTTTGGATTTCACAGGGTCACAATTATACATGTTGGATCAAATATATATATATATACCCCCAATCATATTTGATTAGCAAGACCCTTCTCAAATTGCATCCGCCACTTTTAGTAGCCATGAAGGTATAATTTTGGCTGGCTATTTCACCACTCTACTTGGCTAAATTGGTAGACGTCTTGTAGATCGATTGCTTTCTTGGCAAAGATCCAGCTTTTAGGCATAGTTCACAAATTTTCAATAACGTTGAGGTCAGGGCTTTGGGAAGGCCACTCCAGAGACCTAATATTAGCCTGCTTTATCAATTCCAAAACCAGTTTTGATGTGTTTGGGATCACTGTCCTGTTCTAACACCCAATTGCATTCAACCATCTAGTTGCTGATTTGAGGTAAAGTTGAAGAATTTGGAGGTAGGCCTTCTTCTTCATTATTTTACCCACTTTGTGCAATGTACCAGTACCACTGACAGCAAAACAGACCCAGAACATGAGGCTACCACCTCATGCTTGTTAGCTGGTAGTGTTCTTAGTTAGAGTCAGGGCTTCTTTCTTGGTTGGCATTCTCTCAATGCATGGCGATATAAAACTCACTTCACTGTTGACAGTGACACTAGTCTTCCAGCAGTTTCCAGTTCGTGGCAGGCTTGATCCTCATTCCCCCGGTTGTTCCTCAACATCCTAACCAATTTTCTTTCATGACAGTTTGCGTCTTCTTTCAGAAGAAAGAAAAAGTGGTGAAACATCCAAATAACATGTGTACAATTGTTTGAACTGATGATCTTGGAAACTCCAGTTGTTTAGAAATCATTTCCAAAGATCTTCCCAACTTGCGTAAATCTACAATTCTCATGTTTAGATCTGAGTTCCTTGGACTTTCTCATTGGTCAATCTAATCAGTGGTGTCAATCAAATCTTTTTTATGGTAAAAAGAGAAACTAGCAGTTGTAGTTAATCATGATCACAAAAGTTAACTGGCCTTGGTCTTGTCAAGTTAAAATACAGCATAAAACATTTAGCACCGTTTATTAAAGCACTTAAATGAATGTGGACATATATTTGAGCCTGCATGTTTTCTCTTGATGTCGTGGATTACAGAAAATCCTAAATAAATAAATAAACCTAAGATTTGGGTGCATAGAGCTTGAAAGTATTTAAAGATGTATGCTTTTCACTCTGGAAAAAGAACAGTTCAAAGACATGATTAAAAGTCCAAAGTTACCATGACATTCATGACCACGATGAATGCATGTAAACTTCTGAGCACAACTGTATCCTTTGCAAATTAAAATGTGAAAAAATTGCATAAAAACTTGGAATGGTGCTTGCAAAATTGTTTTTTTGTTTTTTGCAATGTTTTTTGTTGAATAAAATATTGTTTGAGGCATTAGGTCATTGTAATCTTTGATTTGTGTGACATTAACTCAATATAATCGTTTATATTACTGCAATTTTGCCCTAAATAAGGTGAAAATCGTAGCCAGCAATTAGGAAAATATACACAATGTTTAGAAAGGTTGAATGTGTTATAATTAGGTACCATGATTTTAGAAAATATAAGCTAATAGCATAAGAATCATCATGTGATTATGATGCATTTCACTCATAGCTTACCTGGTGTTCAAATGTCCAACAGGCATAATCTTAAATAGGTATTTACAGGTTTTCAGAAAATTAAGTTAGAAGTTGGACAAAACAGCTTCAACAACAATTGACCATCAGCGAAAAGGTGAAGTTACCTTTATTATAAGCAGTGAGGACATATATTATCCATTAATGACTCTAGGAGTAGGACAGAGCTAATATAAGCTAAATTAGCCTTTAGCTTCACTAGCAGTCACAAGGTTTTCAAAGTAATAAATATAGTTATCTAATAAACCTTAATGAAATATGGTTGTAAAAACGAACTATATATAGAAGATATGCAGCAACAATTTTAATACACATGTGTAAATAAGAGTTAGAAGACCGTTTAACTAAATCTGCTAATTCATAAACGTAATTTAGCAAAGAACGTTAGCTAAATTAGCTCATTAACTCCTCACCTAATCTTGTTTTCCTGCAGGTTTTGAAATGGCTTCCTGGGTTTGCTGCAATTCCTGCTTTCTTCCTCAAAGTGCCGACCGCAAACTGGCGGTCACAAGCTGTGGCCATGTCATCTGTAGTGGTTGTTATCAGAGAGGTTATCAGAGAGGTACATAAACAGTTTTGTTGCAAACACAGTCAAAACAATCACTGTTTGGAATACCTGCATATATTTAAGCACCAAGTCTACAGCCTTCCTACTCCCCAGCAAATGAAAGTATGATTAGACAGGGACATCTGTTGGGCTCTAAGTGATATTGCAGAGCTGATTATTTATTTTTTGCACTGAGTGTTGCATGTTTCTAAGTTGTCTCTAAAGGAAATGATCTCCCTAGGGATCTATGTTTAAGATAGATTAAATATCAAAAATTGAGAGTGAAATTACACCATTCACCAACGGATGGTACTCCTGGAGGTCCTTTAATCACTATTCATTAGCCCTGGAGTTGTTCATGATTGGTCTCACCTTAATCAGACTATTGACTTTGTCTGTCTCCCATGGTTAGACAAACCCATTTAACTGATTTTGTTTCACAGACAGAAACCCTTGATGTCAATTTTCAGTCCTTCCATGTCTTCCTATCCTAGCGAGCCAGCATTATATTCTTGACTTTGTAATTTTGGTTTAAATATAATCTTTCTTTCAGGCCAACCAGGCAGCTGTTATATCTGCAACGCTAAATGCCAACTGTCACCACTGTCTGACAAAGTAAGCACTCTTTTCTCATGAAATTCCCAGGTAACGGTGGGTGTTGGGGTGGGATAGCCACATTAATAATCAGACTGTTAAAAGTTGAATATTCTGCTGTCATTAGAGTTATGTTAAATGTGCTCGTTTCAGAGCAGCCCTGGTGTGAAGGCCCTTTTCTCAAACATCAAGGTGGTGGCAGCCAAGCACTTAACGGAAATCAGCCAAGTTCAGTCTTGCTTCATATAAACACCTATAATCCGATTGTATATCTCCAGTGACCTGTAAACAAATGTGCTGTATAGCATTTAAATATATCTAAAAATGCATGGAGATTTAAATGCAATAGTGTAATGCAGAACTTGCAAAAACAGCACTTATTCTGCGTTTTCCCAGGTTATAAAGTACCAGGAAAAACATCAAAAGAGGCTCTTCACTCACTACGAGCAAAGGGTGATATTTTTTTATTATTTCTTTGCCTTAGAATTGTATTTTTCTATCAGTCTGCAACATTTAACTCATCTACCACACTGGCTGTCTAGCTCTGAAGACAACAGTAACTGAAACAGATGCTTATGCCACCTAGTGTACCAAACTCATCAATTAATCACTTGCAGAATGAAAAGCTGGAGGAGGCAGTAGTGAGGGTGAAGCAAGAAATGCAGCAGATGACAAAGTAAGTTAAATTAGATTTGAAATAAGCTGCAGTTTGTGAAAAGATGCAAGGGTTTCTTATTTATTTTTCCAATTAACAGGAAGCTGAATGAACAGAGTGCCTACATTGCTAAACTGGAAAATGCACTAAAGCTTCAGAGGTACAACACTGAATAGATAGTTAACCCAATGTGTAATTGTCGGTTTCTGCCTGCTAAAGCCAGTTATTGCTCCCCTAATTCTTATTTTATGTTTTATTTTGATCAACAAATGTCTGGCTAAATTCCCTGTGCTGCAGATTTGAATACCATTTTTTAGGGTTTTGCATCAATAATAATGATGTTAAGGTAAAATAAAATTTAAAAAGTAGTAAATAATGATTACTGGAGGCAGTTAAAAGCCTGTGATTAAAGACTTTTACAACCAACTGGTTGTTCTACCGCACCGTTCACTAGGTGTCACTCCTGGCACATCTATGGTTCAACTATAGTAATGCTTTAGTGTTTCCATGGGCACGTTGAAATGAATTCAGCAATAAAAATACAGACTTATAAGTCTGTGTAGAATGATCTATAAAAGTACTACAGTTACATTCATCTCTTATGTCTTAATCCACTCTGATTTCATGCAGAAACGCCATCATCTGCTATCTTAGTGTAGGTTTCAGCAGGTGCGCTTTGTGATTAACATTATTTATTACTCCTGTTACTCAGTACCAAAGCTTCATCTGGGCACCATATGAGCCATAGTTCCCAAACCCCATATGGACATAAACCAGGTAAACTATCTCTTATTGTATTGGCAACTGTAATGATCTGTTTTTTGATGGCGCCTGACAAACTATGCAGACATACTGTGTACCATTAACAATTTTTATTACTAATTCTGTCCTATGCAAGAATTGTATATGTGCACTCACTGTCCACTTCACAGATATACCTGTCCAACTGCTTGTTAACATTAATATTATCTACTCAGCTAGTCATGTAGCAGCAATTCAGTGCATTTAGTCATGTACACGTGGACGGGACAACCTGATGTTCAAATTGAGCATCAGAATGCGGAAGAAAACTGATTTAAATGACTTTGAACGTGGCGTGGTTGTTGGTGTCAGATGGGTAAAGAAAATATCCAGTGAGTGGGAGTTCTCTATTGCTGATATCTGAGGTCAGAGGATAAGACTGCTGTGAGCTGATAGGAAGGCAGCAAAAGAACATCTCTGAATGGATAACACATTTGACCTTAAACACCACACTCCACTCCTGTCAGTTAAGAATAGGAGGGTGAGTTTACAGCTCCCATGGGCTCACCAAAACTGGACAATACTAGTGGTAGGGGTCAAAATTTCTCATAAATAAGCAGGGATCTACCCTTCCATGTGTCAACAGTTCAGGCTGGCGGTGGTGTGATGGTCCGGGGGGGATTTCTTGGGGCAATTTGAACAGAATACAATGCCTTTTATTGTCACTATACACATGTACAGTGAGATACAAAGTGTCTTCTATTCAGTGCAGACACGTGGGAAAAGAAAGGGGGGGTGAGGTACACAGTTCTGTAGCACTATGTACATATGAACAGTATCCACAAGTAAGACCTCTGCAAATATACAAATTGGGGGAAAAATAGTGTTATATATTTACAGTGTGGGTTATAGCCCGTAAATTAAGTACTGCACAGAGGTGATGGTAGTTGTGTAGTCTGTGTATAGAGGGAAGTCTTTGGATTGGGGAGTGGAACTGTGTTGTCAGTGCATGAGTGAGTTCAGGGTGGCCGCTTAATGCCAATTGTTTAAACACCACAGTCTGCCTGAGTATTGTTGATATTATTGATGTCCAGCAAAATAATGTGCCATGCACAAAACTCTTTAACATGAGTTGACTGTAAATTGGCTCCACAATCACCAGATCTCAATCCAGCAGTGCGCCTCTTGAATGTAATGGAATAAGAGAGTTTCACGGATCTGCAGATAACAAATCTACAACAACTGTGTGATGTCGTCATTTCATTATGAATCAAAATCTCTTAGGAATGTTTCCAGCACCCTGTTGAATGTGTGTTATGAAGAATTAAGGCAGTTCTGAAGGCAAAAGAGGGTCCAATCATTAACAGCGTGGTGTACCTAACAAAGTGACTTTTTTTGTTATTATACAACACATGGTTTGTTTGTTTTATACACTTTGTTAATGCTACAGTCAATGAAGCAGATAAAACATCTTTTATTAGAATTAATTATAATAAAAGATTATATTTATTTAAATCTATGAGTGCTTGTTGCAAAAAAAAAAAAACATGCACAAAGACCAGAAGCTTTTGTAACCTTATTACTTTTAGACTGTAAAACAACCATCTAAGTGGTTCATTTTATGGTAAATGGCCTGTATTTGTATAGCGCTTTACTAGTCCCTAAGGACCCCAAAGCGCTTTACATATCCATTCACACACAGGTGATGGCAGCTACATTGTAGCCACAGCCACCCTGGGGCGCACTGACAGAGGCGAGGCTGCCGGACACTGGCGCCACCGGGCCCTCTGACCACCACCAGTAGGCAACGGGTGAAGTGTCTTGCCCAAGGACACAACGACCGAGACTGTCCAAGCCGGGGCTCGAACCGGCAACCTTCCAATTACAAGGCGAACTCCCAACTCTTGAGCCACGATCGCCCACGTTATTTTATGAATAACTAAATAATGTCTGTCACTAAGCATACAGCATGTTTTAAGTTACTTTAAATTTTGCTCCTTCTTTTTCGTCTAAGTCTTACAGATACCATATAACTCCTCTGTGTCCCTCTCACGACACTCTTCAGCTACTAATGTGTGAGTATAGTCTCTGTCTACTATTTCACAATTTTCCTTAATAGCGCTGACCTTCTCCTTCTGCTCATTTTTGATTAATACTCTCTTCATTCTATCTCATGCTGCTAATTTTTCTTCTTTGGCCTATATTATTCTCTTACTATACCTCAGGCTTCAGAGAGAGAGAAAGTAGGAGGTAGTTCACGGCACAAACAAGTTATATCCTGGCTTCACTACTGATGTCTTATGTTAGCTTTCGTTGCCGTGAGCTTTGCCCTGCCCTGCAGCTATCCACACACCTGAATAAGCTGATCTTTGCTTGGGTTTAATCAGGAAAACGTACTGGGTTTCCTACACAGTACTGACACAGGACTGATTGAGTGTCAGAATTTAATAGTATTATTGTTATTTTATCCACTGAGACACTGGCTTTAAAAGATGGAGAGCGGATATAAATATCATTTCCTGCAGGGTCGATTCAGCCGCTGGCACTTTAGTCGCTGATAGATGTCTTTCTGCTTTGCTGGGTGGCAACGCGGGTGAAGTGGTGCCATTATAATATAAATTTGGTCTCAAATGATTTTGATCTTGCTTAAAGTATCACAGAGTGAATGATTTATATTTTGAAAATCCCCCAACTCAAATAATCTGTGTTTTCTCTCACAAGTACAGTAAACTACACACAAGAGTCATGATTTTGGTAAAAATAAAATGTGAATGATATAATTTTTGAAGTTCATTTACAGTTTAGTGTAGAATTAATAAAGGGTTTAATAAATTATCTAAAACTGTTTAAAATGCGTATAGAACATAGAAGGTCAGATTTATTTCACTACATTATACCATGTTTTCTTGTATTCATTTGTACATGAATTTTTGCAAAATTTCTGCAACGTCCACTGTTCACTAAGGATGTGTCAGTGTTTTACTATTGAAAAAATAAATACTAATGTAACTTTAAATGTTGTCCTATTAAAGAAAAATCGAAAGCATTCAGGTATCGGTGCACTGTTAAAAACACTGAAGCCAACAGAACTAATGAAGTGTGCCTTCCTGTCTGGCAGCACTGAAAACATGGAGGTGGATCAAAGGAGCCTGTTCTGGAAAGTAAGTCCCAGTTACTTCGCTCGCTGTCTCTCATTGTTGTGAATGAGATTCTGTCGAGATTACACAGCATCCTGACATTGACTTTAAGGCTTTGGTATATTATGATGGAAAGTATTAAGCAAATAAAACATTGTGATTTGTGCTGTTTCTCTGTGAATCTGTCTTTCAGCCTAACTCTGGCTCATTTATCAGAGCTTCACAAGATGGATGGACTGGTATGTGCTTTCTACTGCCTGTTATGCAGCTACTGGTTTTGGTTTTAACTAATGGAAGAGGTGTCATCTGTGTCAGATATTTCCATTTGCTGGAAATGCTGTCATTGTACACTTGTGTGTATTGCTATTTTGAGACTTAGAAACTGATGATTTGACCACCTATAGTAAATAAATCAATAGAGATAAATAAGATGACAGTCCTTTAGTTGCTCTTCCTTTATCACTTTAGACATTGTAGATATCTACTATACCTACATAGCAGTTTAGTTCAGGACATACGCTAATATACAAGAGGATCATTTTGTAACCATCAGTGGATTGATTATGCTATTAAAAATACTTTTTACAGAAGATTTGATTGATGGTTACTGCAAGATAAGAATGAGCTGTGTCATTAATTATAGACCTAACTGCTGCAGAGGCGTGTGTACAAGCTTTAGGTGTTTTGCCTGGTTTGTTGGTAGCAACATCTGTGCAAGTTTGATGCAAATTACTCTGGAAGATGACTCACCTGTTTATCTTGCCATCTCTGATGGTTTTCCAAATGAAAGCTCGTGAGGTGGAACAAGAGACACATAAGCCTATAATGACCCAGGAATTTTTTTAATCATTGTGAGCCATTTTTATCTGACTTGTGTTAAGGATTAACCATGGTTTCATCTTGTGTGATGTGCAGGCACCATGCCTCACAGATCGTCCAACCCAAACATGTCAGCCAGTCACGCCGCATGCTCAGCCACAGTGAGGTAACAAGTTTAATTCATTGAATACATCAAAACAATATCATAGGCAGCATGATGATGTAGTGATTAGCATTGTTATCTCACAGCAAGCAGGCTAGTGGTTCGAATCTCCGGTGTGGCTGGGGCCACTGTTCTGTGTAGAGTTTATATCCTGTGAGCCTTTCTGATGTTTTTTTCACTGATTAGTTTTGTTTTTTGTGTATTCGTTTGGGAAAGAAAAGTCTGATAACCTTCTGCTAGTTTAAAAAACACTTCAAAACGTCTCAGGTTTTCCTACGTTTATTGCTGGTGCTGATCATTTGTGTGCTTTTCATTTTGTAGAACAGTTCATTTGTTTCAAGAAAAACATGCGGTGTCATGACTGTGTGAGCTATTTATTTGTGGACGCAATTTCAGAACACACAAAACGGCAGGAGTAAACTCAAAATGAGCATTTAATTCTCATAGTCTAAAAATACACAGGAACAAACAGATAAGCCAGCGAATGAACAACTCTAAGGATTACTAGGAGATACAGCGTCACTGTCAAACTCAGAGTGCCGAGGTACTGTGGAGAGCTACACACAGCTATGAGGGATAATGAATAAACAGAGACAATATATATAGAAACAACAGATAACGAGGGGAGCGGTAACAGGTGAGTATACAGCTGAAACCAACTCAAACATGGGTCATCCAGAAGAAACTTTAACTCAAAACGCAGAGAACATGTAGAAATCTCACTACTGTGAAATTTGTGTTGATTCTGCCCCACATAAAACACAACAAGAAAACTGCATCAATGAGAGCGTAAAAAAAAAGAGAAGGTTACATTTAATGACATGTAGTGTATCCAATTATGCCTCGTTGTTGTTACAGTAGATTAACAGTTTGCCTCTCTTATCGTCTCCCAGCCGTTTTCAAGGAGGACCTTTTACCCCAGACGTGTCATTCGGCCAGAGTTCTGGATGGAAGTCTCCAATCTTTAGACCACCGTCCTCCTCCAGGCACTCCATGTCCTAACTGGTCTACCACCTCCTTAATAAACACACACGAAAACTGTCATGAGGTCTCTAGATGAAGTACGCCTAGCTAAAATGAGTCACCACCCGGTTTATATGTTGGTTTCACTCACACACCTGTGAATTCACAGACACAATTAAATGTATTTAGCTTAAAGCCAAGATTTGTTCTTATGTACATCGATTACAAACCTAAAATTTAAGTTTGGTAAATTGTGTTCAATCTACAGATTCAATAAACAGATGATAAGATAACACTGCGGCTTGTTGCTGATTGAAATGGTTTCAATGTTTTCTATTTTTGACAGAGTTTTAGCTCACACCAAACCTTAGCGTTCTGGTGAAATCTGGTACACTTTTATATTAATGACTGGTTTGTAGTCAAAGGTCAGAATATTCAGGCCAAATTACTTTGAGTAATCCAGTGGAGAAAGGCCTCAGCCCACAAAGTCTTACAAGCTTTTAGCTAAAGGCACAATCTGACATGACGTTTTCTTTGCCCGCTGGATTTAACATTGGAAACACAAACCTCATATCTGTTACAAAGCAAATGCAAGTGAAGGCGAAGAAAAGTGTAGCCGCGTAGAAACACGATATCACCTGAAGTCATCTCAGCACGGAAAAGCTTACGCAGTGAAGCGGGTGGCGAGGACGCTTGATGTGTTCAGACAGGTCAATTCTGTCTTTGAAAAGCTGTGTTTTCACCCCTATTGTTCCCGGCTGTCAGGGTGGAGAATGGTGTCTATTCAGGAGGGCTCAGGTGGGACTGTGTGTGTGTGTTCTGGGTCTGTGCACGCTATGTTCAGGCACTTGCATTTGGGTGTGTGCTCGTTTGTAAAGTAAGAGAATTGTAGGCCTGATCCTCTTCTTCGCTTCAGTGGGATTTGAAGACGTTTCCTGTTTTTTAAGGTCCACTTAGAGGGAAATGGCTCCCCAGGGCATGTTCAGCTGTCGTGGTGTCACACATTGACAGCTAGAAGACTAAATCAAAATAATCACTACCTTATGGGCGCACACAAATAAACACACACAAAAACCAGGTGAACTCTTTGCTATTAAGCTCAAGAAACTTCAATAAGTGTTATACTGTTTAATGTGTGTAAGTTTATTACAATTTTTCTATAATTTTTTTCTCTCTCTCTTGGTCTCTCTTTGACTTTCTCTGTTGCACTCACACACACCTCTGCATGGCTCCAGGCTGTACAAATGAGCTGTGCCACTTCAGAGAGCTAAAGAAAACTATTCTGATGTCAGTGGTAATTATTCAGCAGCATGTTCCCACAGCTTGTCCACCCCTCCCTCTCTCAGTCTCTCTATCTTCACTCTCGTGTGTGTGTGTGTGTGTGTGTGTGTGTGTGTGTGTGTGTGTGTGTGTGTGTGTGTGAGAGAGAGAGAGAAGGAAAAAGCTTCTCACTTGATCTGATCCAGACTTCACACTTTGTCACTCAGTATTTCAGTCTTATAACTTTGGTGTGGTAAGTGTAATCCCCTGTAGGCAAGACAAGACATGAACTAAATGATTTCACATTTGAATTATTTGTCTTAGTGAGGTGCAGAGAACTTGCTTCTATATAAAGTCGAATCACCTTTAGTGTCGAAGATGTAATTTGAAAAGCAAAGAAATGTAATGAAAGTGTTTGAGTGAACAAGTATTGACAAAGTTTTATCATTCAAATTTTGCATTTACTTTTATAGATCATAAATGATTTACCTCATATACTGTTTACTGTTTAAGAGCAGTGCAACCCCTGCGGTGGATTCATCTGCGCTTGTCATGTTACACCTCAGGGCAGTGCTTTCCATACTGTTGATCGCAATATTTGACTACAGAGATGAGAACACACTTTTGGTTTTAAAGACGATATGCTACAAACTGTATTTATTTGTTAGCTTGTAATTTTTTCATGCATACTCAATCATCCAGGTAAGAAAATCCCAAAAAGTGAACAGAATCAACTTTTTGAAATGTAAACAAAGTGGGTTTTTGTGGGTTTTTCTGCACTTTCTTGCCCAGTCACGGAGTTCCACAGGGTTTGGTGCTGGGACCAATATGTTTCATGTTTTTATACTTCCTTTATGCAGTATTAGTAGAAAACCCTGCATACATTTTAATTGTTATGCAAATGACACTCAGTTCTACAAAATTTATGTGAAGTCAGATGACACAAGTTAATCAATACTACAGGCGTGTTACAAAGGTATTAAGCCTGGATGATCTGTAACTTGTTATTTCTAGTTTCAGAAAAAACATATTGTACTCGGGCCCTAAAGCTTTCTCTTGGCCTCCAGTAACACTATGAGGAATATTGGAGTCTTTTTCAAGCAAGCTATGTCATTGAATGAACACATTAAACAAATATGTAGTACTGCTTTCCTTTATCTGCACAATATGTCTAAAATTGGAAAAAAAATATCATATTTCAGAGTGATGCAGAAAAATTAGTTCATGCAACTCATCTAGGCTCAACTATTATATTTCCTTATTATGGAGCTGCTCTAAAAGCTCCCTAAAAGGCATTCAGCTAATCCAAACTGCTGAAGTAAAACTAGAACTGAAGATCAGATATCTTACTTATTCATTTCTCTTCATTGGCTCTGTCTTAAATACAGAATTTAATTTAACCTCCTCCTTCTCACATACAGTCCTGAATGATTATGCCTTATCATATCTTGGACCTTTTTAGTAGGATATCAAACCAAGAGAGCATTTCACTGTCAGACTGGAGAGGCTTCAGCTTTCTGGTTTCTTCCAATTAAAAAGGGAGTTCTTCCTTCCACTGTTTCGTCATGTGATAAAGATGAGATATGCTTTTAGATGTAACATAATGTTTAATAGGTAAATTGCAAGTGACCACCCTGATGGGTTTACTGTTTGACATATTGAGCCAAAGCTTCTTCCTCAGACTTCTGATAATTACAGAGCACCATCCTTAATATGCATAATTCATATACGACAGCACAAGTGACATATCTCACTTGTTGCAAATTGCCATCACTTGAATAGCGAGAGAGCAAAAAAACCCAACCAAACAAATAAATTTAAAATATACATAAACCTATAAAACATGGACACAATAGACAATGTTTTTAAAATTGATATCCTTACTTTATGTCCTTACTATTTGAGGTCTATATATTATTGTAGGGAATGAGAAAGTATCAGCAATGTCAACATTAGAGAAAAGAATTAGGGTACTAAGCCACAAATCCATGTCCTATTTTTTAAGGCCTTTAGGTACTAAGGTATCGAGGGTTTAAGGCAGATACATTTTACATCTTCACCTTTTTGATTTGAAAAACGAATCTAATCTGTTTTCATGTATACGACATCTTTTTTGATTCACAGCCACCATTTTAGCAATGCTATTGTCTAGCTTGACAAATCAAGCTGAAAAAGTCAGAAAATAATGGTGTGAGTCATTTGTTCAACATAGCTTCAACATAGCTGAATGCAAAGATTTCTTCCAACAACCTGCAGAGCTGAATTTCATTCAGTAAACAGTGGACTTGACATTAAATTGATCTGCCTTTAGATGGGGCTATAGTCCACCGCTGCCTTTTATATAGCTTGATGGCTCCACTATGCATTCCTTTGCTGAGTGTGAAGGTCTGTGGACCACAGCTGCCACAGATAGGGATCTGCAGGATGAGGAAGGGACGCTCAAGAGGTCACTTGCACACAAATACTCACACAACCATGCAAACACACACGAATGCAATCGTGCTTCCATCAGTTTAGACGGCATTAAACTGACTTATGTGCATTTCCTCAGGACATACCCAAACCACAACCTGCCTTACACTAATGATATATGTTATAAAGGGATATTAGCCCCTTCAGTGTGACTGTATAGATGGTTTTATGCCCCCAAAACATGAGTAATTCAAGTATGCACACACTCACATGCACGTACATCTATTCACAACTGCTTCTTTTGTAGAGGTTAAAGAGGATGAGACTGAGGAACTGTTGCACATACACATACAAACACACACCCACAGGAACTCCTGTGGCATTTTGGCGGAAGAGAGCTGAATGGGGGGCTTATGAGGGAGCGAGAAACAGGTGAGGACTGGTGACCGAGTCCACTCATGTATTCTTCAACATACACATACATGCAGGCATCCCACGCGTGAAGTCGGCTGTTGCCTTTGGAAAGGGGCCTCCTTCAACTGCTCTATGTATGTTTAAGTGATGGCAGCACAACTACGGAAAGATTCCTTTCCTGTCGTACACACAAACACAGACTCAGACACACAAATGTTCACACCAGCACACACTATCTTGCTTTGCCATTTGACTGCTCTTTTAAAAATACACACACATGCACGCTAGTGCCCTAACTGTTAGTTTCTTCCCTTTTTACTCTCCATGAACACACATGCAGACACAAACTTGGCAGGATGTGAAGGCAGAAAAAGGGGCCGAAAGACAACACTGAGATTAGGAGGCTTTTGTCACGGCTCTGTGGCAGACTTTAAAGACCTTGGCTCCCTTCCCCTCGGCCAGATTTCTTTCTTTTCTCACCCTGCCTGTCCACATCCCTCTCTTTTCACAGGGGAAGGTAAACATTCAGTACAGAGAGGCAGAGAAAAGGGAGGAATAGAGGAAGGGAGGGATGGGTGGAAGAAGGATTGAAGCCGCCTGTTGCCCTCTTATTGTGTTTTTGTTTTCTTAGTTTTATTGGTGGCTTTGTGGCTGTGTGGAGGATGATTAGGGAGGGAGAGGTATGCAAACAGAACAGCGCTTCAATGCTAGCCAGGTGTCTGCGTTGTTTCCATCTGTGAGTGTGTGCATGTGTGTGTGCAATGACTGCATATATCTGTGCTTTTGTGTTTGTGCATGTGTGTGCAAACTCCTATAAGACGCTGTGTACACATGTTGCATATGAACTCTACCATTACTCTCGTCCAGGTGAGTGTGCAGATGTGTAGATATTTTTTTCAGGTTTTTATGAGGAGATTTTGTCTGTGTTTTTTCCCCCCAGGTGTGTGTGTGTAAGTATGTGAGAGACAGCGATAGCCCTTCATGGTCACTGACTCCATTCACCTGAGCACTCCTTTCACACTAAAAAGGCAGCTGACGGTAAAAAGCTCTTTGGACAGCTTCTCTTCATCACCAACCACAGCTGTTGCTGACTCAAATACCCAGGAATCTCCTCCCTGGGTTAACACCCTTTTAACCATCCAACCACATACCAGAAACCTCCACCAGAATACAAAGGATCCAACAAAACCACAAGGTAA